CATGTGGGTTTCCCTCTGCACCCCCCTCCCACCCCAGTGTCAGCAAGCTGCCAAATTTCTTCTCTGTTGGCCGTTCCATGTATGCGCTTGCTTACTTTCGTTTTCATATGTAGACCTATTGATGCGCTTAATTGCTTAGCTGCTGGAACGTTTATATCTCTCAAGGCCACAGGTGGTTGCTGCTGGATAGTTGCTTGTGTGATCTCACGGAGGGTCGTGGGAAGGAGATATGTTATGCAGCCTAGAAGCGTTTGCTCCCAGGCCCGATGGCGCGCGCGGGAAGTCCCGCAATTGGGCCTCAGCTGTTTGAATGTACTATAATCTGTCATGCTAGTTGCTTCCCCCCTCATTCCTAACAGTGATCCTGTACATGCACCTATAGCTTCCAATAAAGTAAAACCTTTCTGCAAGAGTGTACTTCATTGATGCTGTGGGGAAGCCTGACACCCAGGGTGCCTTGCAGTGAGGATACACCAACTCGGAGCTTACCAGCCGCTGTCCTTTATACGGTTTATATCTCCATCGGCCATCAGATCCGGCCCTCCTAACGCATGAGTTCGACACCCCCACAGTATAAATTGTGCCTACAGCAAACCAGATGACCTTTCACATCCATGTGGATCGCCAGAGGTCCGTGGGCCATAGCCAAGAAATAACTGCATTCCCCACTGCTGCATCACACTCTCGTTTTCTTCTGGAACTCTTCAGCGCTCTCCAAAGAGCTCCAGGAAGGGACAGACGTGCCTCCGGGAACAGAAATGTCAGGGAACCGCGTGCAGTCCTTCACATTGCCTTCGCGCCATCTCCCGGAGCCTTGTACTCTGCCAATTATGGCTCATCGGCAAAAAGACCTCGCCATATGGAAGAAGGAGGAGAAGGAGGGAAAAAACTTGCGTGTTCAGTCCAAGGGCAGAGACGATTTCATTATTGTTCTGACCTCATTTCTCTTAGTCCAACAGAGGCAGCTGCCACTTCTCTTCATGTTTCCTATCGGTCTTTCCTTCCCCCAGCCCCTGCCCCTTCCAGCAATCGATACAGATATTTCTGTCTTGCAGTAAGGCTTAGACCAATGCTCCCTCTAAGCTGTGGAGTCTTGTGAGCAAAATTTCTACTTTGTGAGCGACTGGCATTAAAGTTGGAGTAAGCGATTTGGCTGCTGCATAGATTAGTTAGCTCTGGAGCCATCCCTTCCTGAGCGAAGGCAAAAATGTGTGAGCCGGAGGCTAAAAAACGGTGAGCTAGCTCACACTAACTCAGCTGAGAGGGGAACACTGTTTACAACCTTATATATTTGGTGGGGGGGATAATAAAATAACATCGAGTGATCAAAAAATGACCTTACAAATTATTTAGCTTGGAGAAATGACGACTGAGGGGTGACATGATAGAGGTTTGCAAGATTATGCATGGGATTGAGCAGGTAGAGAAAGAAGTCCCTTTCTCCCTTTCTCACAATACAAGAACTCGTGGGCACTCAGTGAAATGGCTGAGTAGTCAGGTTAGAACAGATAAAAGGAAGTCCTTCTTCACCCAAGGGGTGATTAACACATGGAATTCACTGCTACAGGAGGTGGTGGCGGCTATAAGCGTGGACGGCTTCAGGAGGGAACTGGATAAACGTATGGAGCAGAGGTCCATCAGTGGCTATTAGCCACATGGTATAGATAGGAACTCTCAGTCTGGGGCAAGTGCTGCTCTCTATTCTTGGTGCCTGGGGGGGGGGCAACAGTGGGAGGGTTTCTAGTGTCCTGGCCCCACTTTTGGACCTCTTGATGGCATATTTTTGGCCACTGTTTGACACAGAGTGTTGGACTAGATGGGCCATTGGCCTGATCCAGCACTGTCTTCTCTTATGTTCTTATTTTAAATAACAACACGTAGGTAGTAGGGATATACCGAATGCACCCCCGAAAATGGCCCATTCGGGCCCCTTTCGGGCTGCTGCGGGCCGATTCAGATTCTCTGATCTGAATCGGCTTGCCGCCGAATTGCCGCCAAAATTCGGTGGCAATTCGGTCCCATTATATCCTATGAGCCATTGAAGTCAATGGTGAAAACATAGGGTATATTCTGGGGGCTGGAGGGGAGAGGGTTTGAAAGAGAGGCTCCAAACGTGCAGGGTAGCTGCTGGAACCTCTCCCCAAGATACCCACCATGTTTCAAGAACATTGGACCAGGGGTTCCAATTCTACGGGCCCCCAAACAGGTTGCCCCCATCCCCTCCATTGTTCACTATGGTGGGGAAAATAGTTACTTTTTTCCCACGGTGCTGTCAGTGGCTCTGGGGGGGGAGGGGGTTTGAGGGAGAGGCTCCAGTTTTTCAGGGTAGCTTTGGGAGCCTCTCCCCATGTAACCCCCATGGCCGAAAGGCTCCCGAATCGGCTTGTACTGACGAAACTGACATGCGGGAGTCTTACTGCAGGCCGAAATTGATTCGGCCTGATTCGGCCGAATCCGAATCAGCCGAATTTTTTTTTTCTTCACACCCCTAGGTAGGTAGCTATGAATAAATAGTTCCCGGTGGGTAGCCCTGTTCGTCTGCAGTAGAAGGATTCGAGTCCCTTGCACCTTAGAGACCAACAAGACGTACACACTTTCCAGAGTCAAAACTCTCTTCATCCAATTGAAGTCTGGAAGCTTTTTGGGTAGAAAACATGTAGGTGTTTCTTAGAAGACAGGCTAGGAATATCGCTAGAGGGAGCACTGGTTACCAAATTAATAAATGTAATACAATTCCTAATAAAACTTTTACTAGCCATTTTATTCTTCAAAGAACAAGGAGCCTGCAGTTCTCAGACTGCACCCTTAAAAATCGTCATTTATTATTGTTCTGTATGGCGCATTGCAGAGCAAAGTATGCCAGTAGGACACGTTTGAGATACACACGCATCAGTATACTTTCAAATCAATAATCCAGTCTGACAATCCAGTCTCCTGATGGCACCTGGGTTTTGGCCGCTGTGTGACACCGAGTGTTGGTCTGGACAAGCCATTGGCCTGATCCACCATGGCATCCTCTATGTTCTTTAAAGCAGAGGTCCATAAGTGGCTGTTAGCCACAATGTATAGATGAAATACTGTCTGGAACAGTGATGCTCTGTATTCTTGGCGCTTGAGGGGGGAAGAGGGAGGGCTTCTAGAGTTCTGGTCCCACTGGCGGACCTCCTGATGACACTGAGGTTTTGGCCACGGTGTGATACAAAGTGCTGGCCTGGATGGGCCATTGGCCTAATCCAACATGGCATCTTTTATGTTCTTAAAAGCAGAGGTCCATGAGTGGCTATTAGCCACAAGGTATAGATGGAACACTCTGTCTGGGGCAATGATGCTCTGTCTTCGTGGTGCTTGGGGTCGACAGTGGGAGGGCTTCTGGAGCTCTGGCCCCACTGGTGGACCTCCTGAAGGCACCTGGGTTGGGCCACTGTGTGACACAGTGTGTTATACTGGATGGGCCATTGGCCTGATACAACATGGCTCCTCTTGCGTTGATAGCCCTGATTCAGATCAATAACAGCCACCTTCTGTAGTCTCAAGGAGGCGCTCAGTCCCTCGAGACAAGTGTTCCAGACGCTGAGCACGGTGACTGTGGACATAGATCGCTTTACTCGATACCAAAGAGGATGATCCTGGCTTCGAATCCTGACAAGAGTTTGGTGTGTGGCAAAGTCTGTCGTCGTACCTTATTCTACCTTATTCAGAGGTCTCGAAAAACTGTGCCACCACCTCGGCTGCAGGGCGCGGTGTCTCAGGGTGCCCCCGTCTGTTCCTCGTTCTCTCCTTATCAGAAGATGGGATTGGAGGGAGGGGGAGGGGGCAAAGGTTCTTTAGCTCTTAGAGCAGGGGTGTCAAGCTCCTTTGTTATGAGGGCCGGATTTAACATAATGAAACCTTGTTGGGCCGGGCCGTGTGTGTCATAAAATGTAATGGGATAGCCAGTTTGGTGTAGTGGTTAAGTGTGCGGACTCTAATCTGGGAGAACCGGGTTTGTTTCCCCACTTCTCCACTTGCACCTGCTGATGTGACCTTGGGCCAGTCACAAGCTCTGGCACAGCTGTCCTTGAAAAAGAGCAGTTTGTGTCAGAGCTCTCTCAGCCCCACCTACCTCACAGAGTGTCTGTTGTGGGGAGGGAAAGGGAAAGGAGTTTGTAAACCGCTCTGAGACACCTTTGGGTAGTGAAGGGCGGTGTAGAAATCCAATCTCTTCCTCTCCTTCTTCTTCTAATGCCAGGTAGTGTGGGGATATAAACTTTATAAAGGACACAAACACAAAGGGTTGGGTTTTTTTTACTCAAAATAAAAACATGCTTAAAACATTAGCACTCTTGCAATATTTTCTTTATTTCACAGTGTCACCTCTTGCTCTGAATTACGGCATCAAAATGTCTGTGCTGCTGCAATTTTGAATATGCTGTTCAGGTGTGTATCTCTGAGATGCAAACCTAGATGACGCAGCAGCAGCAGAACTGGAAGAAGAAGCAGAAGACAGCCAGTTCCACTGCGGGCCTGATCTGGCCCCCGGGCGGCATGTTTGACACCCCTGTCTTAAACAATATACAAGCACTATTAAAACGAGACATTTTTGTCTCTTACAATATGAAAACAGGCTGCCGGAGTCCAAATGAAATCGATTCATAAGCCGACGGCTGGCCATTCCACATTTCAGATAGCTATTTTTGTTCTTCAGTGCTTTTTAAAAAAAAAAAAAAAAATCTTTGCTCAAGGGTGGAATGAGTATGTCTTAACTACGTCTGACCTTTTTGCTCTCTACCGAAACTCTCAGCAGGGTAGAAGGGGAGGCATCCTCCAGGAAGGAGTTCAATTTCATTTTGTTCCCATCGGTTGTATTGTGACTTGCAGTATTAAAAAAAAGAAACTCATTTTGAATTGAGCCGCTCTGCGGGATGGTTATTGGGCTGGGTGTTCGCCTCTTGCAGCTCATCGATCTTGTTTTCTCTTCTCCCTCCCCCCCCCCCCCCCCCCCCCCCGGTTCTGTTTTTCAGATAAATTTTGTATTCCTGTTTAACATAGTTAGGATTTTAATGACAAAACTGAGAGCATCGACCACTTCGGAAACAATACAGTACAGGTAAGTTGAACAGTGATTAAAAATGGGGAATTCACGATAATTACAATGTGGAGACAGTAATTAAAGTGTGGGATTCACGGCAGCGATGGCCCCAGGCATAGACAGCTTTAAAAGGGGATTAGATAGATACATGGAGGATAAATCTATCAATGGCTACTCCCTATGGTGACTGAGGGGAACCTCCACATTTGGAGGCACTAAGCCCCTGAATCCCAGAGCCAGGAGGCAACTTCAGGGGAAGGCCTCAGTCTCTATGCCCTGTTGTTGGCCCTCCAGAAGAACTGGTTGGCCACTGTGTGAGACAGGATGCTGGACTAAATGGACCCTCACTGGTCTGATCCAGCAGGGCTCTTCTGATGTTCTTTTCAGGGGAAGGCCTCAGCCTCCCTGCCCTGTTGTTGGCCTTCCAAAGGAACTGGTTGGCCCCTGTGTGAGACAGGATGCTGGACTGGATGTACCACTGGTCTGACCCAGCAGGGCTTTTCTGATGTTCTTATCAGGGGAAGGCCTCGGCCTCTGTGCCCTGTTGCTGGCCCTCCAGAGGAACTGGTTGGCCCCTGTGTGAGACAGGATGCTGGACTAGAAGGACCACTGGTCTGATCCAGCAGGGCTCTTTGATGTTCTTATCAGGGAAGGCCTTGGCCTCTCTGCCCTGTTTTTGGCCCTCCAGAGGAACAGTTCGGCTGCTGTGTGAGACAGGATCCTAGACTAGGGCCCCAGTCACATGGGAGGTTTTGCCCCGCAAGAGAGACGGATCGGGGGCGCAGCAAACAGGCGCGATTACACCGCAACATCTGGGAAGCGGCGCGCACCCGTCCCCGTTCCGTCCCTTCAGCCCGAAAACGCACATTAAAAAAAACCTAGGAAAGAATACTACCTATGTGAAACGCTGCAGCAAGCACGGTTGTAGGTCGCTGGCACGCCCGTCTTCAACAGCATTCGAGGCTCCCGGCTGAACTGCGCATGCGCGCGCATGCGCAGCCGGCTGCCTCACTCTCCCTTCCGTGGCTCCCCCCCCCCAGCATCTGATCGTGCTGGGGAGCAACTGCGCAGCGGCTCAGGGGATCTGTCTGATCCCACTGCCGTGCGTCTCTTTTAGTGCGGCTCTAAAAAGCCGCACTTTGGCTGTGCCAATTCTCCCGTGTGACCGGGGCCTAGGTGAACCAATGGTCTGATCCAGCAGGGCTCATCTGATGTTCTTATCAGGAGAAAGCCTTGGCCTCTATGCCCATTGGTTGGTCCTCCAGAGGAATTATGTGAGACAAGATGCTAGACTAGATGGACCACTTGTCTGATCCAGCAAGGCTCTTCTGGTGTTCTTAACAGTAGAAACCATCCCGTTTTCTTTGTGAAATGTACACGGTGTTTAATAGCTGGATGTCTCCCTGTGCAATAGTGGCCCCGGTCACACGCGCAGGAAACTGCGGGGGAGAAGTGTGGCTGTTTGCCCCGGGGCAAACTAACACGCAGTAAAGTGATCATACCTCCTGTGGAGGTTCTGTGGAGGTACCGTGGAGCTTCCGTGGTTACGGAGAGGCGTCGATCACAACACATGCCTGCGCGCAACGAAGAAGCGCGCGGCGCGGCGAACTGGGTTTCTTTTTTTGTGTACACTACGAATGCGCATGCTCCGTTGAGTGCTTATGCGCAACCACGGAGACTTGGGGGAAAAAAAATCTTCTTCGCAAGGGGACATGGACGGGCGCCGGGTGCCACCGGAAACGCGATCAGACGCCCGCCCTTGCCCCGCAGTTTCCGGAAACTAGTACCTCCGAGGTACTAGTTTTTTGCTCCGTTTTATCGGCGGTTCGCCACAGTTCAACCACGGGAGCTCTACGCTCCCCAGATGTTGCCGTGTGATCGTGCCAGGTAACTCCGCCTCTCTTCCGTCTATTTAGCGTGGCTTCTGCTCCGTGTGAACGGGGCCATAGAACACCTTCAACAGCCAAATACTGAAATCAGGGTAGCAAATGTCTGCTCAGAGGAATACTAACCTTAGTCTTATATAAAGAAAACAAGCTCGTAATTTTCATGTTCATACATAACCGAAACAGGTAAGAGCTAACCTTGCTTTGGAACGAAAGAAACAAGCTTTCCTCGAGCCAGAAACGCAGTGCGCAAAGACAAAATTCTGCCTTCTCCAGTGCCCCAGCAAGGAGCCTACAATTAAGCAGAGACTTCCAAGTTGCCAAGACCCCTTTTCGAATCCACTGTCATCTTGCTGCATTGCAATATGCTTCGTTGCTTTCTCTGTTCCTCAAAGCCCCACCCCCCGAGGTCAAACATTTCCTTAATTTATCCCCCAGCCGAATTCCATCTTATTGTCCAAAAGCATAACACATTTGCAGTGAAGTTCTACAAGTGCTGCAGTCTGCATCTGGCGGGCCTGGTGTGCATCTGGCAGGGTAGTCTGCCTCAAATCCCTTGGGGGGGGGGGAAGGCAGACTATAAATAGCATAAATAGATAACATCAGGGGTCATTTTGTAGAAAAAGAGGTGCAGGAGCTCATTAGCATAACTTATTTACATATGCCACACCCCCTGACATCCCCGGAAGTGTGTCAGAAGGCAACACCCACCGCTCAGGCTCCACTGGACAGTTTTGGATTCCTAGCTATTGGGGGGCAGGGGGAACGTGCAGATTTGTCCTCACAGAGGAGGGAGAGCTTGTACCTGAATAAAACTTGGTCTTAAAGGTGCCACTGGACTGTTTTGGACCGGGGGGGCGGGGGGGCTCTGCAACTTACCTGGCTGCTACTTGCTCTGACTGAGGGCTGCTGGGAACAGGGGGTGGGGCTTGTTGCATGTGCCCGCCCCCTGGGCTCTTTACTGCCGGAGCTCCGCTCCTGTGCGCTCCTGCAGGAAATGACCCCTGGATAAAATAAATCAGCTGTTGGGATTGGGGGGCATCCATCTGGGGGGACCCACTTGCTGTCTAGAGCCCCCTCCCACTGACCGGGACCCCCTCCCCCAATCAAGATGCCTCAGCATGCCAAGAGGCAGAGAAACAGCGATGGCTCATGTTTCCTATCTATTCAGTTTGATTTGTTTTAGCCAGGGGTCATTTCATGGGGAAAGAGGTGCAGGAGCTCATTTGCATAGCTCATTTGCATATGCCACAGCGGGTGGGCTGGAGGAGGGGAGGGAGGTAGACATACCTGGGTTCCCTGCCCGATGTTCTCCGGGTGCTCTGCAGAAAATTGGGCAGGGAACCGAGACATCTTTAGAATGCCTTTCTCTCCCATCCCCATCTGGGAAGGCATTTAAATCCCCCCAAGTGGCAGGGGTTCTGCAGGCCTTCCCTGGCCCTTCCACCTGCACAGGCGGGTCAGGAATGGTGGCGGGGGGGCGCCCCGGGCTCCTTACTGCTGGAGCGCCGCTCCGCCGCACTCCGGCAGGAAATGACCCCTGGTTTTAGCCATGGGCTGTAACAAAGCGGTAAAAATTGGAAGCTAAAGAGATAGATCACGATGGAGAAAGGAAATATGATCATTTCCCCCATTATATATTCACTAAATGCTCCCTCAGGGTTGGAGACAATCAATTTCATTCCATTTCTGTCGTCTTTTGGCGACAGGAAAACGTATGCAATGTAGCACTTTGTCGTCTCCGAGTGGGAGGGAATTAATTGTTTTTGGTATTCCCATATGTAGCTACTGCATTAGAAGCATCAGAAGATTTATAATGTTTTTCCTGACATGATTTGTCTGCTTTTTTTTTTTTTTTTTTTTTGCAAGGTCCCACCAATGCTCCCTTTAAGCCGTGGAGTCTTGTAAGCAAAAATTCCACTTTTTTTTACTTTTTTTTGTGAGCTACTGGCAATAAACTTGTGAGTGAGCGATTTGGCTACTGCATGAATTAGTTTGCTCTGGAGCCTTCGTTCCTGAGCTGGGACAAAAATGTGTGAGCCCGAGGCTAAAAAACTGTGAGCTAGCTCACACTAACTCAGCTTAGAGGGAACACTGGTTCCCATGACTGTCTTCCACTGCTGCCTCCCATTTTTAAAAAGCATATAGTAAAAAGGAAAAAAAGTTGTAGTTTTTTTAACTGAGACTTACTACTTAGGTGCCCCTGTGTGCCTTCAGTTTCTGCCCATGAAGCCCGCTAATCTTGCAGCCCCATCTCAAATAGAGGCCACTAACTGCACAGACACTAAAAAAGCAAAGCTGGTTCCATGCAAACAGGTAACATTTGGCAACTGCCCCATTCATGTGCATTCTCTGTGGTGGTTCGTATATGGTGGAAAGGGCTGCCTGAAGCTATTAGGAAGGCCCCCGAATTTCTGTCATTTTCCAAACTGTGCAAAACAGTCTTGCGAAGGAGGGCTTTCTTGCAGAAGGAGTAGAGCGGTGGTGTAATGGATCAGTTCAGGAGATGACTTCTGTCAGGGATAAAGTCTTTCTTACACAGATGGTCTTGTTGCCTCATATATGTTTGCTTGCATTCTTCTTTTTCTTTCCCTCCTGTTCTACAGTTCATTTCTGTCTAGCATTACAACAGTGTGTTTGTAGGGGGGTGGGTATGTGTATTCTTAAAACCAACTGATGTGGAGTACTGTTTTCTCTCCCTGTATTCATTTTTCTAAAAAAATCATTCCTTCCATCACAGAACCATTTTCTGCCTTCAGTGCGTAGTGCCAGCCTGTCCCTTAATTTGCATTCAGAAGATAGATTCTAGTTGCAGATGACTTACAGTGACCCCAGCAAGGGGGTTTATAGGCAGAAGAGAAGAAGAAGAAGATATTAGATTTATACCCCGCCCTTCACTACCCAAAGGTGTTTCAGAGCGGCTTACAAACTCCTTTCCCTCCCCACAACAGACACCCTGTGAGGTAGATGGGGCTGAGAGAGCTCTGACAGAAACTGCTCTTTTTCAGGGACAGCTCTTATCAGAACTACGGCTTGCCCAAGGTCATCCAGCCCAGGTGCAAGTGGAGGAGCAGGGAATCAAACCCGGTTCTCCCAGATTAGAGTCTGTGCACTTTACCACTACACCAAACTGAGAAGCAGAGGGGGGTTAGCCATCGCCTTCCTCTACAGAGCCTTCCTTGGTGGTCTCCCATCTAAGACTTATAATGACCCCAGCAAGGGGGTTTTCAAGGAAAATGAGAAGCAGAGGCCTTCTTCTGGCATCTTCCTTGGTGGTCACCCATCCAAAACTTGTGGTGACCCCGGCAAGGGGCTTTCGAGGCAAATGAGAAGCAGAGCTGGTTTGTCATTGCCTTCTTCTGCAGTCTTCCTGGGTGGTCTCCCACCCAAGACTTATGGCTACCCCAGCAAGGAGCCTTTGCAGCAAGTGAAAAGCAGAGGTGGTTGGCCATGGCCTTCCTCTACAGAGTCTTCCTGGATGGTTTCCCATCCAAGACTTATGGCAACCACACAGGCCCGTAGCTACAGTGGGGCATTTTGGGGCCTGGCCCCCCAACTTCCTGCCAAGGCCCCCTGACTCTCATCCAGCCCCCAGGTCCCCCGACTCTCTGGGCCACCTGGAGGACTCCCCACCGCCTCCCTTTCCCCAAGCGTGGCTTGCTTCCCTGTGTAGGCAGAGTGTGAATGCTGCAAAAGTGAGTGTTTTAAAAATATATTTTTTTATTTTGTTACCTCAGTACCCCTTGACTTAGTTAAAGCCCCCCCAAAAAAAATTACAAAATCCGGGCTACGTGCTTGCAGCCACAGCAAAGAGCTTTCCAGGCAAGTGAGAAGCAGAGGCAGTTGGCCATGGTCTTCCCCTGCAGAGCCCTCCTCGGTGGGCTCCCTTCCAAGTACCGACCCTGTTTAGTTTCTGAGATCCAATGAGATCGGGACCGGCCGAGATTAGAGGCCGCTGGGAAAGACTATGGCTTTTGTGGACCTCTATCGATGTTAGGGAACTTCTCCCCCTGTCAGGAGTTCGATGGGGCGTGGGTTCAGCCAGGTGCTGGGATGAGTCCAGGGTGCCTCTCAGTAAAGTCCAGTCAGGTAAAGCGCGCGAGTTCCTGAGATTGCAACTGGGAGAGTCCGGTGAGGACGGCAAGGAAGAAGAAGACAGCAAACCTAATGACGAAATGGAATCTGAAGCTTCCGATGAGGACTGTCTCCGAAAAAGGGGCGGCAGCCCCTAAACGAGAATATCAATTAAGGATCAGAAAAGATAAAAACGAAATGAAGGCGGAAGGACTCTGAATAGCGCCTTAAAATATCGTTACAATTAATGATGCCCTTATGATTTTCTTCAAACAGTTAAAATTAATGGCTTGAAAGCTAAATAATATAATTCGATCGACTATGTTCAATGTAATCAAAGCAATTGAGATTAACACTGATAACAAGCAGTTGTAATGATCTCCTATACTTGGGTTTTTAGTTTGGTTTCTTTTCTTTCTCCCATAGAGGTAGTTTCCCCTTCCCTATTTTCTGTTGTAGTTTATAGAAAATGCAATAAAAAATCCCCTCCGGGGGCTTAAAAAAATAGTAAAGTCCAGTCAGGGATCGCCTCAGATACTGCCTCAGGGGAGGTTGCGTCACCGCCCCGTACCGGCGGCTGTCATGGGTAGACGAGTGCGAGTGGACGAGGCCATAGCCCGAGTCTCCCTCCTCTTGTCCTTCCTCCCGGGTCCAGCCAATCCTCCCTGGCTTCCACCTGGCTCTCATTTATTACTGTCCGCCGGTCACCTGCGTGCCCCGTCGCCCACGCCTTAAAGGAGTCTAACCAAGGGATTGCTGCCGGTTGCTTTGGGACCCAGTGTGTGCCATCCCCATCCCTCTCCTTCCCGGTCAGGGCCTTGGCGAGAGGCCCAACTGGCAAACTTCCACTGCCCCCCTCCTTGATGGCAGGACATCCTCGATATGGGCAGTAGGGAAGGATCCCTGGGCCTTCAGGGAAACCTTGCAGGCCCCCGTTGGCTCCCTGTCGTCAGAACTTGGGCACTCCTCCCGCAGCATCCTCTGTAAAGTCGGGAAGGGAGGGATCCCGCCTTCCTGACAACCCCACACCCTCGTCCCCAATTTGCTTTGAGAAATTGGCAAAGAACGCCAGCTATCCCGGGCTGGAGTCCAGCTTATTTTGACAGCGCTGCTAGGAATCCCCTGAGCTTTGATTTCTTCAGTGTTCATGTTCTGACGGCTTTTCATTTCATCCCTAAAATCCAAAGGGCGCCATTCTCCAATTGCACGTATTTGCGAAACCGCTTTCAGCTCGGCAAATCCAATCTGACCTGCTAAGCCTGTATTTCTGAGCAGTGCTTCGCCTTAACCAACGTGAAGTCAATTTGATCTCACGATTTGATTTCACTTGCAGCCGGCGAAAGGCTCGCGTTCGTCTAACAGCGGTGAAAAGGGGAGTTGTTGCGGTCGGATAACGCTGCTGGAACGGCTCCACCGAAAGCGATCTCTCCATTTAACGCTAACCTTTCTTTTAATTAAAGTGCTAATGATGTACAAGCCAGATTTAAAGATGTCTTCCTGAAAATGAGATGTGCAGTCCTGTTTGTGTAACATAAATGAGTAAATCAAGGGTTTGAGGGGGTCACACTCACGCCACCTCTGTTCATTGCTCTAAAGTTGTGTGCATACAGGCATCTGTCTGGAGAGAATACAGATCACATAGAGATGACATAAAGCTCAGATGTATGTATGCTTTGTGCCCTGGCTCATATACGAGCATGTAAAGCTCAAAAAGGGAAGCCAAGACATGCAGGCTGCTTCTGCATTGACTTTTTCCTCCGTTGTTTTACGAAACCCACGTTGGAACAGAAATTCCCCTCTGCACTGCATGCCGCTTTCACTTCCTTTGATCATCGGATTTCATGGTAGCCTCCACACTCTCTCCCGTCTCTCCGTCTCTCTCGTCAGCGTCCCACTTAGTTCCACAGCGCACTCCTCGTCCCTGGCCCCTTCTCCACACTGCCTTTTATCTCCCCGCCCCGCTCCCAGAACCGCCCATCCACCCTCCCGCTTGGGCCACGCCCTCCTTTATCAATCAGGACACCGGTGGGGCGTCTCCGGATTGAAGGCTGGTATGCCGCCGGTGGTCCTGGTGGCCTCTGGGCTGTGCCACCGCCGCCAATCTGCGGCGGTGCTTGCTGTTCCGCGGCCATTCCTGGCCCATCGGACAGGTAGCCGCTGCCCCTTTTTTCCTCTGTGGGGCGGCTCTGCGGACCCCGGTCCTGTCTCCGGGCTTGACTGACACCGCTCGCCGGAGATGGGGTCCCTGCTCTCAACTCCCTCTCCGGACCGTCGGGCTGCGTCCCGTCTGGTGAGTCACGTCTGAGGTGTCTTGCGGGGTCCCAAGGGCCCGTTCTGCACGTCTTGCGACCTCCGGAGCGGGACACCTATTTTAATGTGATATCTTTTATCCATGTTACAAAATGTCATCGGTTTATGTTTTGGTCAATGATCGTGAATAAAACCTGTCTGTCTGTCTGTCTGTCTGTGATTGGCTGCTTCATCTATAACATAGGAAGTGACCCACACCCAAACCCCCCCCCCCCCCCCCAAAAAAGGCAGCAGATGCAATGTTACTAAAATTGCATCGTTTATTCGAGTCACAAGATCCAGCTTTTCGTGGTGCAGACTTCGGGCTGTATTTTGAATTTTTTCTTTTGCAGCATAGAGAACATACAACGGGGGGGTCTACAGTGCTTCAAGCCAGACCAGTCAGGCATGTTCAGTTCGCTGCCTTTCAGCCATCCCTGCCTTTCAGCCCTTTTCTTTCTTTTGTTCCCAATAACTCCCCTTGCCTGATCTCTTTTTCGCAGGAAAGCGGTCAAGGCGACGCTAGTTCTCCTGCCTCTGCTGGGGATCACCTACATGCTCTTCTTTGTCAACCCGGGCGAAGATGATATTTCGCAGATATTTTTCATCTACTTCAATTCCTTCTTGCAGTCTTTTCAGGTAGGAGGCATCAAGGAAGAGCAAAGAAACGGGTTTTCTGAGCCGGTGGGTTGGATTGTACCTCTCGACAGTGCCTGCCACCGGCACAGAGAGGCTTCCTCTGATGTGAGGGGCTCTCCCACCTGGCAGAAGAGCCTCTTTCGTGGGATGTTGGCCTCTTGTGCCAGAGGAAGGTGCTGCCATTAGGTGAGCAGAGTGGTAGGAAAGAAATGGGTTTTTTTGAGCTGGTGGGTCAGAACATATTTCTCAGCAGTGCCAGCCACTGGCAGAAGGAGCCTTCTTCTGATGTGAGGGACTCTCCCACTGAGCAAAAGAGCCTCTTTCATGGGATGGTGGCTTCTTGCACCAGAGGAAGGTGCTGCCATTAGGTAAGCAGAGTGGTAGCATCCCGTCCAGTGTCATGGCACTCCTGTTTCAGGAGTGATCTGGCCCTCGGTGAGTTCTTGGCAGACCACTGTGCTGGTGGACGTCTTGTGGCCAGGAGTGAGCCGAAGCTCAGTAACTCAAGCAGTGCCACGGAGAATGCTGGGCTCGTACGTGGTCAGCAGTATGACCACTCCTCCACTCCACCACCAGCCATGTCCAAGCCAGGTGGGCCCAGCAGCACTCCATAATACCACAAGGCTCACTCTTCCCACCTCGTTCTTGGCCATTTGAACTCTCCTATCCCCCTCTGGGGTTGTGTCATAGACCAATCTGAACCATGGGTCGGCATATCCTCCCTTAAAACTGTAGGGGGTTGGCTGTGAAGGGATTCAGAGTGGGAAAAGCACAGGACAGCTAGGGTGATGAAGTGCAGCTATGATCCTATGAACCTTCTTAAATTTATTTATTTATTTATTTATTATTCAAATTTATACCCCGCCCTCCCCCGTAGGGCTCAGGGCGGCTTACAGGGCAAGATAGACTTGCAGCAATAAAACCACAATATAAAATAACAATATATCTGCATTATAAAACATTTTATACAATTAAAAACCCATCCTATCTCACATAAAGTGCTTGGTGGTATCTAAAACTCCAAAACCCAAGATGGCGGGACAGTTCCAACAATTCTTGGCAAACAGTCTATAGCATCACGATATTCCAAAGATCTTCTCAGGGTTCTTCTCAGGGCCTCCTCAAATCCCCCCCCCCAAGATGGTAACATAATAGGGGGGGCAGCGGCCCCTACTCAAAAGCCTGGTGGAAGAGCTCCGTCTTGCAGGCCCTGCGGAACTGCATCAAATCCCGCAGGGCCCGGATCTCGCCTGGGAGCTCATTCCACCAGGTAGGGGCCGCTACCGAAAAGGCCCTGGCCCTTGTGGCGGCCAATCTTGCATCCCTGGGGCCCGGGATGGTTAACAGGTTTTGGGCCCCAGACCATAGTGGAGTCAGGTTATTATTGGGTGCAGTAAAGAAAAAGCTGGAGACCAACTGGTGATGAAGGTGCATAAAGTTTACTTAGAGATAATGGTGAATATTTACACAGAGATATACAGACTGTCTTACAGCACAACATGCCTTAGTTGGGGAGAACTAAGTCCCCCACCCAGCTTATCACGCTGAGAGCTTATATACTAACCCCAGCCAATCACTAACAGGATAAACTAATTTCCTACTCTAACAATGCTAGAAGAGTAACACCTGGTAGTTTAACACCTGGCTGTAATTGCCTTAATCACTTAGCATGACAGCTAAGACTTACACATAGATCAAACTGATCTAGATCCAGTAACTGCTTGCTACCTCAACCATCTAGACATATATCTCAATAGTTATTGGTCCGTCTGTCCCAGTGTTACCTACTGTGATGCTCACACGAATGAAGCTGCCTTATACTGAATCAAACTCTTGCTCCATCAAGATTAGTATTATTGTCTACTCAAGACTGGCAGCAGCTCTCCGGGGTCTAAGACAGAGGTCTTTTACATCACCAGGTGCCTGATCCTTCAAATGGAGATGTCGGAGATTGAACCTGGGACCTCCTGCCTGCCAAGCAGATGCTCTACCACTGAGCCAGGGTCCCTCCCTAGAGGTCCTTCCCCATCTGGCCAGCTGTGTCATTTGGGAATAGAGATTCAGGGCTTGAAGACTGAGCTGAAATATTGAGTTGTGTGAATGTCTCTGTGAGTCGTTTGCATTATGTCCCCAGGGCCGGAGAAGAATTTGCACTTGTGGTTTATAAGCATTAGGGTTTTAGGGTAACGTTGCTGCCACCATCTTCTCTGAAGCAAAATTCAGATTCTGTTGGGGGAGGTTCTCCTTTGAGTCAAATCCCCGGCAAATTTGCAGGAGGCCAAAGGCGATTCGGCAGAAGTTGCGACATTTCTCACAGTGGGATTCAGCACAGTCGGCAGTCGCTTCATCTTGCCGAATGTAAAACTGGAAGGCGCTCCTTCAAACAAAACTTCAGAGATGTTTCAAGAAAAGACGAAAGCTTTAAGACAGGACTAGAAAATGTCAGGGGGGGGGGTCTTGCACATCCCTAGTGGCATGTAAATAACCTCACGCTGTGTTATATAAATGGAATCTGGGAATCCGCAAACGTGTAGTCATAATTCATACACGTTTACAAAGAAATAGGCCTATGTGAGAGATTCGTCCCCAGTTGCATTTAAAGTATAGCTATCTATCTAGGCTAGATTAGATGACAGCCATAATTCTGTTGACAAAATCTGGATTATACAAGATGTATCCTGAATTGAAGGCTGTGGCATCAGTGGGCCAAGGCCGCACTAAGGATTTGGACTGAAGGACGTCCAAAGGAAAAGGGGATACTTGTTCGCCTCTGTGTTTAAATGCTGCCCCAGAGTTCCAGCTTTTTCCTGAGCATCCGTCATCACCTGTGCACGTCTTCACAACCTGACAGAGATTTCCTCTTTTGTTTTCCAGGGTTTCTTTGTGTCTGTGTTTTACTGCTTCTTAAACGGCGAGGTGAGTTGCCTTGGGCCCTGTTTCGTGCCGGTAATTAGTGACAACAAAAAATTAGTGAATAATTGTTAGCCATGCAGAAATGATCAGACTTCACAGTAGGCAAAGCGACACCTTCATCCTTAACGCATCTGCTCTGCCAGCCATCCTGAGGGAAATCTTTATGGTTTCTGCTTCGAGGTGAGAAATTGAGAGACAAACCCAGCAGCCGCTTAAATCCCCATAACTGAGGAGAAATTTATTCCTAATTGTTGCTTCCGGCCTTCCCTTTGTACAGTTCAGGCTAAAGTACATGGCATTTATTTATTATATCTTCCTCCAGTGAGTTCAGTTTGGCCTACAGAGTGGCACCGAAATTATGGAATCCCCTCACAAGGGAGATTGGTCCGTCTCCGTCAGTTGTCATCTTCCGCCAGTGAATGAAGACTTTTCTGTTTTGTCTGACGTACCCTTACTGACCTATCGTCTCTTTGGTTTTTCACTGCTGGTTTGATCTTTTCAATTGTTCATCGCCTCACGGGCCCCAATGGGCCGGAAAGGTAGCATACGAATGTTAACAACATAAGAACATAAGAGATGCCAATGTTGGATCAGGCCAAAGGCCCATCCAGTCCAACACTCTGTGTCACACAGTGGCCAGAAATACCAGGGGCCATCAGGAGGTCCAGCAGTGGGGCCAGGACATTAGAAGCCCTCCCACTGTTGACCCCCCCCCCAGCACCAAGAAGACAGAGCATCACTTGCCCCAGAGCGCCTATCTATACCTTGTGGCTAATAGCCACTGATGGACCTCTGCTCCATATGCTTATCTAATTCCCTTTTGAAGCCATCCATGCTGTGGTATGGTACTTTTCTCCCTTTCTCACAATACAAGAACTCGTGGGCACTCTTCTTCACCCAAAGAGTGATTAACACATGGAATTCACTGCCACAGCATGGACGGCTTCAAAAGGGAATTAGATAAGCATATGGAGCAGAGGTCCATCGGTGGCTCTTAGCCACAAGGTATAGATAGGAACTCTCGGTCTGGAGCAAGTGATGCTTAGCCACAAGGTATTGATAGGGGCTCTGGGGCAAGTGATGCTCTGTCTTCTTGGTGCTTGGGGGGGGGGTCAACAGTGGGAGGGCTTCTAATGTCCTGGCCCCACTGCTGGACCTCCTGATGGCACCTGGTATTTCTGGCCACTGTGTGACACAGAGTGTCGGACTGGATGGGCCGTTGGCCTGATCCAACATTGGCGTCTCTTATGTTCTTACAGATAAACATATGGAGCAGAGGTCCATCAGTGGCTATTAGCCACAAGGTATTGATAGGGGCTCTGGGGCAAGTGATGCTCTGTCTTCTTGGTGCTTGGGGGGGGGGTCAACAGTGGGAGGGCTTCTAATGTCCTGGCCCCACTGCTGGACCTCCTGATGGCACCTGGTATTTCTGGCCACTGTGTGACACAGAGTGTCGGACTGGATGGGCCGTTGGCCTGATCCAACATTGGCGTCTCTTATGTTCTTACAGATAAACATATGGAGCAGAGGTCCATCAGTGGCTATTAGCCACAAGGTATTGATAGGGGCTCTGGGGCAAGTGATGCTCTGTCTTCTTGGTGCTTGGGGGGGGGTCAACAGTGGGAGGGCTTCTAATGTCCTGGCCCCACTGCTGGACCTCCTGATGGCCCCTGGTATTTCTGGCCACTGTGTGACACAGAGTGTCGGACTGGATGGGCCGTTGGCCTGATCCAACATGGGCTTCTCTTATGTTCTTATGTTTTTATCCTAATACTTCTCATTGGAATTCTGGGCACAGTCTCAAAATGGCTGCCATGGGAGGCGGAGCCCATCACAAAATGTCAGAGAGTGCGGTTTTATAAATATAATGGTGCCTCTTCAGCATTTCAAGTGGAAGCTCTCTTTAACAGGATGCCTTTTAAATCTGCGCAGCCAATCAGAAGCCCTGCTGGGCAAAAGGCCCACCTAGTCCCGCCCAAATTCTGAAAGCACTCGGAGGTTACCAGGAGAGCTGTTGACGAACACCATGAGCCCTGTTCTAATAGAAGTCTGTCTTTTCCTCCCTCTCTTTTCTGCTTTTTCTTGCATGCGTTTTTGTTTCTTGTGCGCTCTTCTTGCACCGCGAGAAACTTCCAGGCTCCTGTATTCATCGCACACCATCTCCTCCCTTGAGTGGAGTCCTGATGTCTCTCTCTCCCACCCACGCGTACACTTCCACTGCTCTTACCGGA